TGAAGTATTCAAGTTTCCACAGTTTCAAAACTATGTGGCGCAGGATGCATGCAGTGCTCTTCAGGGAGGACTTACTTCCCGACCGGCCAAGCCTTGCTGAGCCAAGGCTTTCACCCAGCAGGATTACAATACTGCCACTTAAAAGTTTAGTTTTCTTCCCCTGAATCCAAACTAATCTAAAGAGGTCCTTCCTGCTAGTAAAAGCTTCTAAGGGAATTTCCTTCTCTTTGGTGTCTTTTTTTTTTTTTTTACCCTCCTAAACCACACTATTCTCTGGAGAATTTTTTTATTACTATTTTATTTTAGCCTTTCATCTAGCAGTCCTCTGCTCAGACCCATCTCCTTGAGGCTCTCCTCAACAGGGCAGCTAAGCCCACAGCCTTTGTAAGGTCCCTGCTGACACAATTCCTGAGGATACTGAGGATAATTAGTACAAAAATAAATACTTTCCATGTAGAAAGGTACATCAGTGGTGCATTAATAAGCAATATCTCATAATGCAACTCGGAGTTTGAAGTGTTGAATCTTGAATTAGTACAAAAAAAGCCTCATAGGTGCCATAGAGTATATTAGTGTTCATGTGGACTGATAATTACCATATGGAAACTGCTAATGAACCAGTTTGCTGAAAAACTAGTCTAGTAACTGATTAAATAAAACTCATCTATATCTGTATTTTGCCGCTAATTGGCTTTCCTTCTTTGCATGGTGATGGAAAAAATTTAATATAGAAATGGACAAAACCTTCACAAAGTAAGCATGACAGGAATAGACTGAAGGGGAAAGGAGAAGTTATCTTTGCAATATTATAAGATATTAAAGAAGTTGTATTTTTTTAACTCTATTTGATATCTTGCATGTAGTGTTAATAAAACTTGCTGAAGTCTTCCTGAGACAATGAAAAAAAAATTCCTTATCAGATTTAATCAGACACAGAAATACCAAGACAAATATAAAACTATGTAACAAAAGAAAAAATCCAAACCAATCAAAACCTAACAAACAACACAGGTTTTCTCAGAAATGGAAATGTAGCTAACAACAATAAATTTATTTCTAGAGAGAAAGTAGGATGGCGACAGTTAGGGAAAAACACACAGGTGTATAGGGACCAATAAGCAGACACAGGAGGTTCATACATATATCCTTTCATCCAGCACAGACATCTCTTTTCTTTTTGTTATACGGCAAAATATTTAGCTTGAGGAACTTGATTTTTGAAAGGTTTATGCTAGCTTATTGTAAGACGTCACTGAAGCTGTACTTTGCATTCCCCTAAAGGAAATGAAGTAAAAGAATTTGCACATGTATTATGAGACAGAACTTCAAACAATGACTTTGAATGCTGTCTTATCATGGGCTTTGGTGTCTCTTCTGCACGATAATAACTTTTGTAATGATTATTAGAGGACTCAAAACTCAGTAGATTTCTTTCTTTTCCCTCCTAGTCTGGGAGCTTGTAAAGTAGCTTTCTCCACATCACTGTCACGAGCACTGAATTAGACTCAACAGGTAGCAATGTGCCACCCGGTGAAGCTCAACAAGCAAATTGCTGCCCAGGGAAGCAATACATAATTGTAAGGTGTGGTTTACAGGCTGTTAACTTAGCTCTGTGTCCAGACTTCAGCAGTGCTGAGGCAGTTCAGCCCTCACTTAGCACTCACCTATCACAGGGTTAAGCATTCAGAAGAGCTAATGTGCTATAAAAACATCCAAAGTTTGCTTACTCCAAACTATGAGTTTCTGCCTCCCCTGCAAAGTTGCAAGAGCACCTCACAAGCACTTGATATCAGAGACACTGATGTTTATACAACCTTAACTGTGACCTAATGAGGCCAGTGTAGCAATTAGTTACAATAGCTCACTGGTGGCACTGCAGAAGTGACACTCGCAAAGCAAGGCAACCATGAATGAAGAACATCACACCTTGTGGCCAAGCTCAGTCAGTTACAGCACCCGGCTGACCGAAAAGGAACCATTGTAACATTTCATTCTGTATGCACACCCAGAGAGGACCATCACATAACCTTTGGCTTGGAAGATCATCAGCTCTGAGGGAATTTACACCATGGGTACAAATGGCCGAAATGGAAACCAGGGTTTTACAAGTGTGTGAACAGTAATTGTACAGCACTCTGCTCAGCCTGGAGCAGATTTAATAATATTTAATACTGTCATGAGTCAGACCAACTCTCAGAAAGCACAGTGTAAACCTTGATACTGTTTTTCAGGAAAATAAACTGCTTCTGTGGTAACAAAGAGACCCACTAATTTTTCTGGCCTCTTCCATCTCCACCAGACAAAGACCATAAACAAAGCACACGCTGTATGGATTCTTCACTGCCAATGCATCCAGCAGCTTTAGAGCATCTAAGTGAAAGAAGCTTGGAAAGGAAATACGGTTTTTACCTCAGTAAATTCCTAGATGGAGGCCAACTAAAGATAAGTGATTGTGCAAGACTGAAGAAAAATACTATTCTTACCAGTTACATTAAATTCTTTACTTTAGGGGTCAGCTGAGTAGACATCTTGCCCTGTAAAGCAGGACGTCCTTTCAAGCTACTGCTTCTGAATAATTTATATTTCAATGCTCTTTGTTCTAGATTCATTAATATTCTCTCTCATGTTCACTGAAAAATTAAAAAGCAAATTTAAAAAAATGACAACACTGGACTAAAAATAGTCTATGTAGTGGCTACAATAAAAAAAACTTCAGCAAACAGCATTCTGCTCTATTTGCTACACCCACTGGAAGATTCAACACCTACAGTGTAGTAAAGATAGCTCAGGCTTCTCTGCACTTGATCACACTGCTGTTTGCAGGACAAATGTAATCCATATGTTTACTAGCTGAATCTTTTTAGGTACCATCCACATCTTCTAAAGGAACTATCATTTAGAAGTCAAGTAAATATGGGAGGTATCAAGGTAAAACTCTGAGAGTTCAAACATCCTTTTTCCACTTATGTTTATCAAAACAGCTGCAGTGCTACAAACAGATAAACAGCAAATAGCTGGTAGTTTATCAATAGAAACGGTTTCTCATTTCATAGATCAGATTCCTCAAGGTGCAGTTTGACATGAAAAAGCCAAGAAGCAAACAAAAAAGCTGACACCTGAACAGATTGTAGCTTATGAAGCTAAACAAACACATTTTGCAACTCAGTACCTAATCACTAGCTGGATTTTTCCTAGCATAGGCACCCTCCTTAGCAGACACTGCTTTGTCCTCCAGCACAGCGTTACGTGACTGACCAAGGGCAGGAATGAAGACAGCTGGATTCCTTCTATCTGCGAGAGATGTATCAGGAAAATTGTATGACTTGCTTTATACCTTAAGATAACCAGATAAAAAGCTAGGCAGTGACCAAACACTGGTTATTCATAATTTCTGCCTCACCTGCCTCTGTACTGGGAACTCTTATCAGAACTGTGCAGATAAAATGGGGTCATACTCTGTCATCCTCCACGGTTTGGGTACCCCAGTAACCCTGATGAGGCCACTGACTCAGCTGGGGATAACAAGGTTAAATCTAGAACACCTCTCTCCTTCCCTTTTCCAACTTATTTGCTGCTGTTGAAAGCTCCTGTCTTGCTACAGCTTACAAATCAGGCTGAAGTTGTTAGGAAGAGCTTCTGTGGTAGAAAAAAACAAACACCACCTCCTTTGGAGGTGCACGTGCCCTGTAAGACCCAATTTTCCTCCAGAAGCTTGCCAAGGGATCCAGACTGACTTATACCATCCCCTGAAACTTGTTCTAACCCTTCTTTATCTAGAAGGCACACTAATTGCACATCTTGATTACAGTAAGCCTGATGTCACCTCCTTAAGATTGTACAGGTTATTAAACCAAAGCTGGTACCATTAACCTGTGCAGAAGCAATTGATCAACTGCTGCATATTAGACCCAACTTCAGCTGTTCCTAACATCAATAAAACAACAGTGAGAGACTTTGAAACTTGCTAAGAGCATCACCTGAACCAACCAAGCAGGGCAGCAACAGTGCTTGGCAACCCTGCTTAAGCATATTTGTAGTGGGACCCTGAGGACAGACAGAACATGAAACCATGATGTGTAGAATGGCAAAAGACCCGAGGCGCAGGACAGCAAGACAAACATGGCAGAGAACAGCAGGAACCTCCACATTTAAAGTCTCAACTTCGCGTCGGGGGAAGCAGGACAGAGAGTGTGTCCCACAGTGAACAAGGGAAGTCATGATCTTAACATCAAAACTCAATATTATCTTAATGTCATCTTAATGTCAGTGTCAATTGGGTGGGGTAATACCTAGCGATTCAATTGGTTCTTCCTTTTTATATTCTTAAATACATGAATCAAAGGTCATATATCAATATCAATTAAGAAATTAATATTTCTGTTCCCCCCACCACAGAGATGCACAGTTCTCCTGTATAGAAGGGCAGCTGGCATCACCTCACATCAAGAAATGATAAAGCTCTCGCTTCTTCCTCTTGTGATTCCTTGTGCAGTTCTGACATACTCAGTACAAGTATCTACATGGGATAAACACACATTGCTCTTTAGTGCCTCTTGACTGAAACAAGGTTAACAGCAACATGTAATCTTCTCAGGGATTAGTGAATAATGCTTCCTTTCCAAAAAATCTTTCTCCTAAGGTCTCTAAGAACAATCCTGAATGGAACAACATTCAAGTCCCTTCTCAAAAGTGCTTCTTCAGGATATTTCCAAGAGCAAAACATGGACAGATCAGAAAAGCAATTCCACATTTTACCGAATTTCAGCAAGACACAGTCCTTGTAGTGCATGAGCAGTTTGCCATTCTATCAATGCTAGAATTTCACCATCTATTCCTATATATATATCTTACCTTGGTTTTCTATTGTTTAGTACATAAAACGTGGCATAAAGCATACATGATCTTTCTAGTTACGGTTCTCAATCGCATCCACAGAAAAAGATGCCAGTTTGCAAACCAAACATATAAAACTTGCAAAAAAAAAAAATAAATAACCAAACCAAGAGGACTTACAGGATCAGTCAGTTCTGGCAAGCTCGCTTGGTAGGTGAGAGGTCTGCAGTCACGAGTATTATTCACCAAGACACAAGGAAGAAACATTGGTCCCAAATCATCCCCATCGAGCACGTCTACTGTTAGGGTGGTCGTACTTGTCCTTCGCTCATTAAGATTTTGGGCTCGGTCCTATGGAGCAAACAAGTTACGTTTGATGAGACTTTCTGAATTCGGAATCTACAAAAAAGTTTGAAATTAAAGCAAAGGGCAAAACACATAAGCACCATAATTATCCACATTCTTAGCAAACAACTAATTACAGAAACTTCAGCCTCAGAGCTGCAGCCTTTGATTTCATAAAGGCTTAGAAATTCAGTTAAGAGGTAAAAGTTTATTTCTTGCATTAAGAAAAACTGTGAGACATCTATCACTCAGAAACAAAACTGTTTCGAGAATTTAGTTCTCAGGAAATGTGTACAATGAAGATACACGTCTTCTTAAGTCTATAAAAATGCAGCATATTTGTATAAGATAAAAAATCCCCCATGCCTTACTTATAATCTGAACTACACTCTTACACTGCCTTGTGGAGCTCTACCAAATCCCATCTGTAAGTAAAAGGACTTTCACCTACAGAAATGGAAAGCATAAGCAATAACAACTTATTTTCTAATTGGCAGCGGAGAGGCCCTGGATTGTAATGCTCCATCCACCTCTGCATATCATAATTTAAAGAAGAAAATTTTAAAAAGATTCCTTCCTTCCCCCCTCCCCAAAGAACCAAAGAGCCAGAGAACAGCAATGACATTGATCTAAGTTTTCCAAACCGTACTCCCCATGGAAAGCTAATTTGTCTGGAGAATGAGTTATGCTCATGTTTTAAAAGGTTGAAGAACACTTGCGTCCACAATAAGACAGCTACAATGCTGCACCCCAAAAAAGTCTCCATGCTACATGACAGGTTCTTTCAATGTATCATGGTTTGGCCTTGCCCCCTGATTTTTTTAAAAATCTTTGATTACACAAGACACCATTGACTATTGCAACTTCTTTGTTGTCTCCTTTTTTTCTTTCTAGATGTTACGGAACAAAGCTACACTTTCCTGAATTGTGGGAACCATCCAGATTATTACTTATTATTTATTATTATTAATAATTATACACTGAACAATGTACACACTGGCAACACTTCACCTCTTCTTTCTTCTTTTGTTAGCATAGTGAAGAAACATCATGACTACCCAATTTTTTTTAAAACAGTCAAAAATATTTCCATTTTCACAGAGGAACTGTTGTGATAGCTTTTCTTTACAAAAAAAATAAAATCTTGTTAAAGGAATATGGGCCACTAGCTAAGTCTTGCCCTCCTATCCTAGGACAGCACTGACAGAAAATAAAAAACATTTTTTTTTTTAAATGTATGCAGTTTAGTATCATCATCTGTGGAAGAGGAATAGGTCATTGCTCTAAATCAGACTGGATACATATTTTTTTCCTACTTTGCAGTCCACTCAATTCTTGGAACCGCTTTACATTTACAGTTACTACATATGGGATTTTCTGAATTCAGCTTTCTTCGTGGTCAATGATGAAAAGCAATACCAGCTACAAAGAGCAGCTTTCATCATCAACTAATCTTTTTTACATTCCCCCAGTATGTGCCTCTGAGTAATACTGGATCAAAGCACAGATACCGAGTAATTCATTTCAGGTAGTATCTTCGTGATGCAATAACAATAAACTATCACTGTTAATGCAATCAGTGGAACAGAAGAATGATCACATAAATACAACAAAGATAATTAAATGCAGCCTGCAATATTTTGTAAAATTAAAAAAAAAAAAGAAAGAAAGCATGCATAAGGCAAACTCCTAAAAAGAGCTCGGCTATAGAGCTTAACTAGAGTCTTTGAGGTCCAGCTTCTCATCTGTGAGCACTCAAAATGTTAGTGAGCTCAGTTCCCATTTGGATATGTTGGAGAAAATGCATGGCCTCACAAGACATTGAAATCATGCAAGCTGCCCCATGATGTATAAATGGGACACAGAAGCTATGAGCACAGCTCCAGTCCCAAACCCAGTACCACAAAGGTGACCATTTATTATGTAAGGACATATATTGAAAGGAACAAACAAATTAATATGAGATTGCTTTGTAGGACTGTCACTGTGCATCACAAGCTGTGCCTTCACCAGTTGTTGCTGCAGCATGACAGGTTCCCTCCTCATGCAAGGCATTCGCACTGCTGCACACCCTGCCTTTCTCTTGAAAAACATGACCTCCTCAGCTACCCCAGTTACTTTCCTAGGAGCACAGCGTCTCCTGAAACGCACAGCTTTGGCATCAAAGGAAAAGAGCTGTGAATACACAGTGGTGATCTGTGGAATAAATTATAAATAAAACAACAAGCCAAATAGTTTCTGAGCCTTCCCGTACTCCTGTTCAAGAGATCAGCAAGTTATGTTAACCAGGTAAAACTTGCTCCGACAGCCTTAACTGCAGCCTTAACTGTATGGGCTAGGAAGCATCTTTAGATATACTTAAGTGAAAAAGCACTGAGACACCCTTGGAGCCAATCTTCTATTGGGGGAATGCTGAACATGCCACAAAACATGTAGAAAAGTCGATTGTAAAATGTATTTGCAATTCAGTATCAGAAAGATGACAGTGATATAAATGCCTGAATTCAGGAACAAGCTATCTTAAAGTTGCTTCAGAGCATTCTCATTTTGCCATGAATGAAGTAGTATCACAACAGAGGTAAACAACAGAGGAAAAGTTTTCATTTCAGCTATTATCAGAAGGACAAAAAGGGAAAAAAGCTTTCATAGCCTTCAAGGGCACCAAAAGACTTCTCTCGTGACAGATATATTAGATACAGTTTAAACATCACTTTTCTTCTCAGTATGCATTACCCACTGCCAGCCACTCTGTAAAAACCTCTATATATGCTTGCAATATGACTTGAAAGAAAAATCACCTCTTTATAGAAAAATGCATTTCCAACCTGAAGGATACAACTAAATTATATCCATTACATTAATTTGAGATCAAATCAGCATCACTAGACTTGTTAGAAAATGAACACGTAGTGAGACTAGAATGCACTTTTCTGCACAGGCTGTACTTCAAATTTGCAACTTGTTCCTTATGCAAGAAGTGTTGTTTTGTTACACACACTGAGCAAGCTTTTTTTAACATTAATAACATGCCTAAGCTTTCAATGACCTACATAGATCTTATTTAAGATCTTCAGGAAAAGTGTGTTAATCAGACCTGGTATTTCAGCGAGACTTTTCATTTCTTTGGAAAACATCTAAATCTGGAAACTAAGACCTCACCTAAACCAACGGCATAAATGGGCATTAAGAGATCTATACTTACATTTGCTTGAACAGTGACAAAATAACGCGTCTTTTCTTCATAATTTAGTCTTTCCCGTAGAACTACTGCTCCAGACAAAGTGAGAGGAATATCAAAGGTCCTGTTGGAAGTCTGTAAATGTTAAAACAGTAAGACAAAACTGGACACACTCCGAAGTTAAAACACGTTTCGAACAGGCCACAATGAGATGATCTATGGGATGGCAAACCAAAACAGCATGTGCTTTCCATGCTGGAGATTTTAAACTTTTCTACGTTTACTCCCCGTCCAGTTTACTCCATAAGAACCCCCACAATAAGTAATTTGTATGTAACAAAATTCAGATTCTTTGCATATACATTATTACTTCCAACCATGAAGTGAAGTCTAACTATCCTGCTTCTTGGAGATTCGCCATGCTGAACTTGCACTGGTGTGTTCAGAAAAGCTTTCCCAAATAGACTTGTCAGCTGAGAGTTCAGATCTTCAGTTTCTACAGTCTGGCTTGCCTTCATCTACATTTTCTCACTACTGTAGAAAGTATCAAATATGAGAGATTATAAAATGCACATCACTGCACTTATTATCTCCCCTTTATTCTGGCTTTCAGGAGGGCAACAAAGTAGTGAACACAGGGAGAACATCAGTACTATAGACTTAGATGCCAGTTCACAGGGGCAGGTATGCACATGATCGTGCACTAGTAAATTCCTATTTCAAGGTAAATCAGGATGGGTAAATCTGTCAAAATTCAATTTGTCCTGCATATTTGTTTAAACTGATTCTGTTTACAAAGCTGTGGCACAAAATTGCAGGAGGGTACTGACAGGGTGCACACACCCTTAAACGATTCACTTTGACTAATGACCCATTTGGGAGGAGGATTACAGGCACAGCTCTCTGATGTGAGATCGAGCTCCATTATCAGAGTAATGACATAAAAAAAAAAAAAAATCTTTCCATGATTCAATCTACCAATGTAGAATATAGTTAGCATACAACTATTAAGTATGTTGAATAGGTAATAGCAATATGATATTCCAAAATCTTCACAGAGAACACTGCAGAGGTACAGAGTACTATTCCTTCCTTAGAGAACATAACAAAGCCTTCTTCCTCTAAAAGTTGAAACATCTCCTAAATTTGCAGTCTATTTTTCAGCAAATAAGTGATACTGATTGTTAAATTCATCACACTGCAGATATTTGTGTTGTGCAGAAAAAGATGATTGGAAAGTACATCAAAGACTGCTAAATAACTGGAGACACTGTTTGTTTATGTCTGAGTTTGGCACTCGTCTTTTTGGAGAAAAAATACATAGTTACCACCGGGGGTGGGGGCGCAGAACCCATTAGAGTATTTATACTGAGGCAAAACAGGAAAACAGAACAGACTCCTACTGTTGGAAGAAGGAAGAACCAAGCAGGGTTGCATTCACTGCTTTTGCCTCCCCCTCTTCCTCTCTTTTAATGGTAACTGCAAAAACAAGCAAGCAGGTTGTGAACTATTCAGCTAATGGGTGGTATCTTTTGACTGCTGTACAAGGTGATGCCATGTGTACATGTATGCACACATATATGTGCCACTTCTAATTCACAAGGAAGCTTCTCCTAACTGCTTTAGCCCATTAGTCTCTGATTCAAAAGGCCAGAAACAGATGGAAAAGACTGCAGCTGAGGCACTCTCAAAATAACTGCCTTTTCCAAGGTGGATCTCGGCATGAGGATGCACTTCAGTGGAACTGTGCAATTTAAACTGTTAGCAAGGATCAACACAATTTCAGCAAAAAGCTTTAACCTCTTCCCAAACTGCTTAGATCTGGAGTCCCCTCTTGCTTGAGCACCACACATAAATGCAAATGTTTAGTGGCGATGCAAAGTTTAACTTCCAGACATACGTTTGTGCCACAGCTCCTGGAGGTACCACATGAGATCAACACTATGATCCCTCTGCAAACTCCAGCTATTTCTGCTGCAGCCCAAACTGTAATGAAGCTACAAGGCAATTCAAAGATGCGCAGAACACCACCACATCTCATTTCTATCCAATACGAAATGAGCCAGCATGTGCTGAAAGTCAGGTATATCAAGACACTGCTTTGTCCACTGCTTACTCCAAGAGAACAAAACTGGTTCTCCTTTCACGTCAAAATAGAGACAACAAAATGCTTTTGTACAGCAGTTGTCATAACTCAGAACATTTGTTGGCCATAGTCTTGAATATGGGCCAGTAAATTTACAATGAGGAAAGTCACCAGGGTAACAATTCAATTTACTGTCCAGAGAGATGATATGTGAAAAATCAGCTCAGCAAAAGCTTTATACATATTCCCTAAGTCCAGATAAACTCAAAAAGCTTAATTTGGTATCCTCACCAAACACAATACAATGAATCTCAGTAAAATTAGCTAGTAAGGAAGGAGTTCAGAACTTGTTTTGAGAATGCATTTATCTTAATAACCTTCCAGTATAAATAGAGCCCTCAGAGATCTAAAAATCCACTCTGTATTAACAGGTAGAATCTTTTGGCAAGTTAATTGACTTGATCCTTAGCTTTTAACACCTAAGAAAAGCTTTATAGCATTCCTTTGTGCAATAGCTAGAGCCCAGTTCTATGTCAATTATGATTTTCATTCATTTTTCTACTTGGCTTTTATATATCTGCCCAATTAAACAACAAAATAATTAAGTTAAATTGAATTTCTAGAGTAACAACTCTTGTTTTTACAGTTTTGTTTCACATGCCTAAATTAATCTCCAGTGAAACTGATGAGCTATAATCAGTCTGCTTTTCCTAAGACAGGAGGCTACGTCAGTGGTGCCTAACACCACTGCGGACATCTTCATCACACAATAGAGTTGGATCCTAGAAATGGAAAAATAGAGATATCTCACACTAAGTTGTACACATAACTAAGTTGTGGTATAAGTGTTTCCCAGGTTAAGAAAGAAAATCCACTTGTAGCAGATATTACGCAGTAACTTTCTGGCAAGGTGACAGCTGATATGAAGCAGCTTACAATTATAAGAAGTCCTCTCCATCAAGCATACACACAAAATGCATCACTAGGTAAAGCAATATTATGCCCATAAAGGCTTTCCACAGATGAAAGAATTATATTTATTTAATCTGGAATACAAAAGTAGCAAGGCAAAGACACAATAAAGCAACTAACTACTCCAAATAAGTGGTTCCAACCAGGGAAATCCCTCAACAAGAACAAGTAAGTCTCACTGAGTAAGAGACTTTTCCTATGGAAAAACACCAGACCAAACAACTTAGGGATGCTATAAGTGTCCCTCACTAGTGGTTAGACAAACCTCTCTGCTGAACTTGAGGCTACAGCAGTAGTAGGCTTTGGAATGATTTCCCAGGATGCCTTTGAGCAATATAATTTATTTTTCTAGTAAATTAAATACAAAGCAGCTCTTCTATTTCACTGTGGCACAATACATTTTAACAGAATTAAAATTTCAAGGGATCTGGATTTTTTTTTAAATTTATTATTGTTTTCAGTATATCAATGTATTCTATGTATGCTAATTTTTATTTTAAACAATTTACATCTACTAAAGTTATCTGGAAAAAGTACTTTCTGTGAAAAGTATTTTCTCAGTGCCTACATTTTTCATAGTCTTTATTGAAACAGAAGAAATTATGTGAGCTGTTTTTTGTTAAGTACTCTAAGTTAAGAGTAAGAAAAATGAGTGGAGACAAAAACCCAAAGGTTGGGGGATTTTTTTAGTGAATTTGAAACTGCTGGTCCATTCCTGTCACTCCTTCCCTGCCTTCTGTTTACTTTTCAAATATTTGTGGTAACACAATAGCATTTATTTATAACACTTCCCTTATGCAAACAGTTAAAAGATGATATTAGCATAATATTGTAGTCTGCTATTTCTGTATAAAACCCTTGCCTTAGTTTATAAAGTTTAGGAGGGAAACTCTTCAGTCATACATACTGCCAGTACAAATAACAGCTGTAACATGATGAACTCACACATCGTGCGCCAGTAATTTTACTAAGTAGTCTCACTGAAATGTCATAACTCAAGAGGCTGCTCAACTGTGCAACAAATTTAATCTCAAAGAAACAACTGCAAACATTTAAAAAATGAAATAATACCAAATATACACAACATATAAAGTGAGAAAATTCCCTACCTCCCAAAAACCTACACATCACAATTCCACCTTTGTCAAAAAGACATTGCATCTTTGCAAAATAATACTTCCCAGAAAAGATGGTGGTTTAAGGTGCTGCAAAGTTTTTCAGGAAACCATCTGTGTCCTCAAAATATGTAGGTATAGTAAGTAAATATTATCCCTCAACATGTAGCTATGCAAAAAATCAACAACTACCTTGGTGAAAAGTAAAATATAAATAGAGTCTTACATCATTAGTTCATACTAAATTATTCCTTGATACTGTCACTCTTCTACAAAATTCCACCTCCTAAAAGGTATAAGCACTAAGTGTAACTCAGTAGACATTTAAACTCTTGTTGATTTCAATGGAAATAGGACTGAAGCCTTTATGAGGTGTACATCTTAAATGGTGCAAATTAAATCAGAACTTGTGTGTCTACACTTCCAATTAAACTGAAAATCAGATTGCTGTTTTTCCACAGAATCATTTCTGCTCAAATGCCCCTTTATGGAACTTCAATGAGAAGTTACTAAGTCTACATACTAATTCCCCCGCCCCTACTTTAACATCAACGTCATCTTTGGGATGAACACGTAATCAGGTTAGCCTGCTTAACAAATTGTCACACCAGCTGATCCACTGTAACTGTGCTCTTAGCCTATGGTAAAAGACATCTTGGTTTGAAAAAAAAGGATTGCTCAAATTACTTTGAATTTACTATGAAAATGCACATGGACACTTCGCACACATGACCTATGCACACAACCTTGTTAAAGCAGAGGGGTTCACATATCTGACCCTAAAAAGAATTTATTTTAATACTTTAAGCTTTCTGTCTCTGAAAGTACGATTTTGCAAAGATAATAAGTAGGGATCACTATGGCTTTATTTTAATAATATACATCCCTCTAAAAAAAAAAAAAAAAAAAAAAAATGCATTTTTTTAAAAAAACAAAAAAAAAAAAAAAAAAAAAAAAAGACTGCTCTTTAAATATAAATGGGTCCATGAAAAGTTAGAATATCTCTTCTGAAAGTAACTTAGCCATGCCTATGAATATTTCTTACCTATGACTCTGTTAGGTATAAATGCGCAGGAGTAAACACAACTACCTATCAGGGACTGAAAAGGCATGCCAAAACCAAGATGAAGTGTGGGAACAACACGGGAGAAGAAAGGTGATTATTAATGATTGACACTGAAGTAAGCCAGCTGCTAACAGCAAGGCAAAGAAAGGCAAGGCAAATTCAGTGGTATTTACAGGGCAAGTGAGTCTCATCGGCAAAGAGAATACATCACAAAGGGAAAAAATTTCTTTATGAAGTTCAACAGCAAGCTCCTGCTCATTTGCTGCTTCAAGATACAAATATATATGCACACTTGAACAAAAAAGAAGCTAAATGCATTTACCTTGTCATTAGGATTGTACTGGATAACATATTCTATTTGGCCGTTCGGACCATCATCAATGTCAGTAGCACCATTGTTTCCAGAAAATCCTGTAAAGATGGTTGTTCCAACTGGAGTTAACTGCAAGAACAAAGACAGACAGATACCCATGAAAATCTTAAGGAATACAAGAATCTTCTATAGCTCTGGTCTATAATGCAAGGTTGACATTCTCTCCTCCCCTGTGTTCGGCCTGGAACCTGAAACCTGAAACCAGCAACCATTTAGTCACAATGTACACAGACTCTATTTTAACTGACACCAAGCATCACATAGAAAGTGAAACCAATTTCTATTTTTATTCCACAGATCGTCTGCATCAAGACAGAACCCCATTTGGTTTAAAAAAACATTAAAAAAAAGTCTCAGAAATTATAGAATTAATGAAATAAATATAAAAAGATTAAAAAATAAAAGCTAATTTTTCAGGTTCAGGAAGGAAAATAAAGATGAGCTCCAAAAGTAAACAGAACTCATTTAGCAGTGTCTTCATAACAATGTGAATAGCCCCAGATAAATATTATTCCATGCAAACACAGCCACCCAGAGAACTTTATGGCTTTAAACAAACACAAGTATGATACTGTTTCTCTAATATTTTGTTGGCAGCAATTGAATACCCATAAAATTATATTTTGAAAATGAACCAATACATAATTATTCTAGCATAGATACATAGCATGAAATCAAGACCCATTGAGATCATGGACAGGAGTCCAACTGACTTCTTAGGAGTCATCATTGTGAATTTTAATATCCAGAAAACTTTGTGAGTAATCAACCTGAAAAACTAATGAACAAACAGTTCTGGATTCAACATAACCATTGCTCCTAGACATGCCTCCTGCTGCTGCTCTCATGACACACAAATTTTTAGCCCTCGAATTCACAGAGACCCACTGACCCCTCTTCTTCCCTCCAAATTGTACATTAAGTTGTTGCACATCTTTAAACATACAGTGTTTAAACATACGGGGTTTGTGTTCCCAAGTAACCGTTATACCTGATGCAGCCCTGCCGCCCTAGAGATGGCTGAACACCTGCCAGCCCATGGGGAGCAGTGAATGAATGCCCTGTTTTGCTTTGCTTGCGTACGCGGTTTTTGCTTAACCTATTAAACTGTCTTTATCTCAACCCACAAATTTTCTCACTTTTACCCTTCCAATTCTCTCCCCCATCTGACTGGAGCGGAGCAAGAGAGCTGCTGTGTGGGGATTAGTTTCTGGCTGCAGTTAAACTATGACAGACATTCAAACATTTGTTGCAAGTGTGGATACTACTTCGTTATTGTATTTGGTAGTTCACACCCTAAAGCAATTAACTGCCCATTTCCTCCTATAGTCATAGTTCTTGGTCTTGGTTTATTTATAAAGCTGATAATTACTTCAAGAGTTTAATGGCTGACAGCATTCTCTAAGAAATATTTTCAAAGCTGAGAATACTTAAATCTTTGAAATAAAACCCACCAATTCAAAGCCTTTTTAATGATAAAACCGGTGAGGCATAATTTACAATACTTATTCAAATTATGTACATTTATGCCATAATATCTATGTATGTTTATGTTTTGCTACAAACTTGACTTGCTTACTATTGGTGTTAATCATATACTTGTCATACGTGGGTGTCGGAAGTTGACTGCTCCCTCATGCCTACTAATTGCAGGATAATTACCTCACAGAGAATCTCTGCTACAGCAGCAGCCTTTCAAGAATTCAGGAGACCAGTCACCTCAGAAACACAAGCCTTGCCTGACAGTGTAAAATCAGTCAACTCTCATAAACCAAGGAGGATAACTTACTGGTTAATGACAAAAGTGCATGTGTAGGGGGAAAAGGGGCTTTCCTATGTTTTTGTAAGGGGATAGAAGAACAAAGCAACATGAAAACCACTTGGGAAGATTTACAAGAGGGATTGTAGGTTTTCCCCCCACATTAATAGTGGGCTATCCTTGGCCCAGGTGACCTCTCAGCACCCCCCCCAACAGCACAGGGGAGGAAAATCAGATGAAGAGGCTTGAGGGTCAAGACAGGGAAATCACTCACCCATTACCCTCACAAGGAGAACAGACTTGGATTGGGGAAAATTAATTTAACATACTACCAATTGAAGATATTTTTGCATGGTGACAAACAAAGCCAAAACAGCACATTCCCCCACCTCACCCCCTTTCTCAAGGCTCAGCTTTCCTCTTCCACTCCCAGCTCCTCTCCTGCTCACCATTTTTTCCTCACTCCTCGCTGCCGGGCGGCATTCTCCGTTTCTCCAACCCGCTTCCCTGACGCAAGGCCAGCCAGGCTGAGGCGCTGGGCTGGGGCCCTTGGAACCGGCTGGAACCAGCTGCACCCGGCCCAGGGCAGCCCTGGCCTTTCCTCACAGAGGCGCCTCAGCTCCCACCAGGACACAGACACGCCATACAACACTAAATACAACATTTTGACCAATTAATCGTTGGTTAAATGATAGAGTCTTGGTGGAAAGAGCTGGGCACCACAGTGGCTGGGCAGGAGTTGGCCCACAATGGAAATTTCCCCAGCTTCTGCTGCCAAAACAGAAAAAAAGCCTCAGAGCTCCCAGGCGAAGCGCAATAGAGCAGCTCTGAAGACAACCTGTGTGAAACAGGCAGGAAAGTGGGGCAGTGAAGACGGTGTCCAACACCACCCTTGTTAACCATGGCTCTGCGCTAGCCTGCCTCCATGCTCCTCAGCACTTGCTCCAGGCAGCAGCTCTGCTGGGCAACGGTTATGTAGTCTGTTCCACCCAGAGCAGCTGTACCGGGGCCCTGACAGGGTGCAGATAAATGATGACTAACACAAGAAGGCTACAGTGCTGTAAAGCACATCGTTAAGTGATAACAGAGGAGACAGTTATAAAAAGGACATAGCAGTAAACACCAGAACTACAATTGCATGCCCTTACAGTAAAACTGAAAAGCTGAAGTCTTGGATTTAGTATATTACATCTAAAATAAGTTATTGCAGATGTGTAAACCTTAATTAATCTAATATGCAGGTTTCTATTGTATCTATATTTTCTTTTTATGCAATACAAATAATATTAGAAAGGACACTGAAAAAAAAATCCCCTGCCACTCCCTCTTCCCAAAAGTTAGGAAAAAATTTGACTAATTTCACTCAACTTTCCAGCCTGCCTGAAATCTCACATCAGAGATTACTTCAGCCTTTGGAAAAATTCAGATGAGCTCTTAGCTAAATGTCTCAAAGTCCGCTTTCAATCATTTGAGAGAGGCACTCAGCATTCAAAGCTATACAATATTTGTAAACTGAGATCTTAACATCGCAATGACATACCATTTGCCAGCAATATCACTTTCACCCGCAATTGGTGAGGATTTTCTGACTGCTGTCACCATTCACTTTGTTGTTGGAACAATAAGGAGGAACTTGGTTCACCTTATAAAATGTGACTATATATAGTATATACACACTGTTCTTTATCAAGATGAATAATCCCACTGTTCTTGTTTAAATAAGGATTAGTTATTATGTGAACAGCCCATGAGGAACTGCATTCCTAGGAAGACGGACAGGTAACATGGGAATGAAGGGCACATTTTTCTAGTGAATGTTATGAAAGCATCTAAAACATGTATCCAAAAGCTAAAAGGGCAGGCTGAACAACTGGGTTTGATCTCACACAGCCATAAAATGGGCACTCCATTTCAACACGTGTGTGCAAGCAGAACAAACTGGTTAATCATATTTTTGGCATCGGCAAAAAGCAGAACATCAAGATGGCTTTGTATTATATACTATATAATAAACATAATTTCTCAAACCAGTGATCAAATTCATTCTTTAGTAGATAAACACACACTCTCTAGACAGTAAACACTTATCTAGAGCTCAAACCACCAGCCCACCATTGCTATGTCAATTTGTAATGGAGAGATTCTGCACAGTGCCCATTTTCCCACATTTTCCAACTCAGTTCATTATCTGAAAAAAATCTTCTACCACCAAGTCTTCCGGGAGACGCAGGAGGTATCAGAGAATTCAGAGAATACCTCAGAGGAATGTCGTTTCTCCATACTGAATTTTAGTACCTCCTACAGAAAGAGACTGAAGTTATGTAGTAAACTTTTTGACCACACTAAGCATCTTACCTTACAGAAGATAACATGTTAGAAATTATAAATAAAAAACTATATGAGTGTTAGTGACAGCTGGAGGATAATCATCTCTGTGGGAATTCAATGTGGTGAAAAAGAACCATGATGACAAGAAACAAGTAAGATTTCAAAAGAATGCGATTAAACAAATAGAGAGGAAATACACACAATAAATCTTACGATTCCACAGTCAACAGCTGCAATCCTTAAAAATTCTCCAATGTGATTTATGTCTATTAGAAGTCTAGATACAGACAGGAACTTTCAGCACTTCCATAAAAGATTTTGAAAATAAATTTTCCTATTATTGCCTATTGACAAAGTTAAAAATGAATAATTTTTCACATTGGCCCTGAACAGCAGAGCAAAGTAAGATTTACAGTTAATCATTCAGAGCTAATATTGTTTTGATGATGTCTACCTGCAGAGATTAATTATTTCAATACCACAAGGAGAAAAATATGAATAATTACACCAGAAGCAATGAAAATTCAGCACAAATTATAATTCTCAACAGTCCAAAGCCAAAGTTTTAAGACAGCTGAAGTTCACGAGACACGCTTATTTTGCGAAGGATTCCCATCTCTACCAACATAAGGAGGGGAACCCAAAAAAAAAACCCCAAAAACCAAACCAAGTCTAAAATTTTGGTATACAAGCCGAAATTCTCATCAGCTATTAGTTTATGCCTGTATAATAAAGTAACATTGACTTCAAACAGTACTCTAGTAACTCCACTATAATTTCCAAAATGACCAGCTATTAAATGGTCATGAGCTTACCAACACCTCCGTAGCACTCAGGTAAGGCTCACGTGAAAAACTATTACAAAAAAGTTAGCCTTATATAACCCAGGCAATGCAGAACTAGAGTTGTATTACCCGAGATAAAATTTGTGAATTTTTTTTTTTTTAACACAAAACACAGACACCACAATTCTGCCTTACTAGTCTAAGATTTTAGTTTCTAGTCCCTGTATTAGGTCATATATATTTAAAACACTTCTGACAATACTATAGATTTGTCTGTAGAACAGTAACGATAATTCCTCTGAACTTCAACCTACTATAGAACTTTGTTTTAATATACTGCAATAACACATATCTTTAAGTCACTAATAAGCATGGTCAAATTTAGCCCCAGGCTGATGTAATTTTGTCAGGATTTTTTTCTAAATGAATAACGATGTGATGTTTTCATATGAAAAAAAATGTAACATGGAAAACAGGAAATAGGCCTGCAGAGTATTTCTAATTATAATAAAAATTTTAACATCAGCCTTAACTAATGAGGAGATTCATAATGCTGTGGATAGCAGTTAGATTTGCTTTTGGCTGAGACACTTACATTCTTTGTCTTGAGCATGAGAAGGGAAAAATGGAAAATTGCTCCTAAATGGTAGCACCCCTCTAAAGGGCTTCTGCACTTGTGCTGCACTAAACTCTTGCTGAGGCTGGACCTGCTGTAATATAGATGAAAAAACTGAAAGCCCCCGCTCCTGGTAAAGCAGCAGCACTGGGCTGGTTGTGATATGAAGGCAAAGAGCCCATTTCTGCCCTAGTGCTGGCACTGGCTCTCGGCTATGGTATGCACAGTAGCAGCAGCCCAAGAGCAATGATCATCTTAGTTCCTTCAGATGTCAGAATAGCACTGCTTACGAGTTGCCTGAATTATGTCTCAAATCTGTTTCATAACCCAGACAACTATCAGAAGTCAATAGTTTAATTACAACATCATTTTATTGACTATAGCTTATGCACAAAATGCCAGTTAATTTTCAGCAGATGGCTATTTTGTATCTGCGTTAGCCTCCAGCTATGGCTATTGAGGACCAGAGAGAACAGAGACTATTTATACATATACATGTATACACACAAGTGTACACATAAATGTACATATACACACATACACATGTAGGATGTTTCCTTTGCTTGCCACCCCCTGCCAACGCAGCGCGTGTTTTTCCCTATTAGCTAACTCTAATCAGCTATCTCATTTAAATGCTCAGATAGTAACACTGTGCTTAAAAAGTAAAACATGTAAAGATAATTTTTGTACCTAGATGCAAAAGATCCATTTTCAAATCACACATGCACTGGAGGGGAATATTAATTTCTCTGCACATTTTAATTTTGGATAACCTTACCCAGGGGTCTTCCATACATACAAGTGTATGAATGACAGAAGAAAACATTTAAATCCCAATGGATCGTTTGACAATATGCAGAATAGGCCAAATTCTACAGACACTATCTATATACAGAGATTTCTCGGGATTTTTTAGGTTCCAGATGAAGCTATTTGAAGCAGTAAAGTGAGAAATTATGATATTTCTCATCTTAGTGCCTGAGATAAGGCATGACAGGATGAAAAAAGGCTATGAAACACCTTGAGTAAGAAAGGCAGGGAGGGACCGTGGCTTTTTTGTAAGAGAGACCACATAGTTACCAGATTAGTAAGTGCACATATTTTGAAGGATTTGGGGAGTTTGCCTTAAGGCATGGAATTAGCTCTCTTCATGATCATGCGCTTGAGGAGGAACTTAGAGGTAGGAGAAGGGAGACCAAAGGGAGTATTAGCACCCAGAACTACTGAGGCATCAGCAAATAGCTGTTAATGATAAAATTCTCGACTGAAACTGAAGGATGGCTTTGAAAATCAAGCAAATGCTACCATGGTATTTCTGAACTTACACCCATGCAACTTCTGATGCTCCGACAGATGCCTGTGACAACATGGAGAAGTCTGATACAGTCTAGTCAATATAAGACTGAAATAGGAATTTTAATATACACATGTTCACAAGCATGTGAGAAAGAAAAAAAAATGGTCAAGAGCTACTACAAACGTTGCCTTTGGTCTAACACCTATTACAGCTACAAGTGACTGGAGCTTGGGTGGACTCTCTAGGACAGCATCACTCCGTTTTTCCCAATCCTTATGCTCTTCCTTGAGCATCTGCAAGGGCCCCTGACAGCGAAAATACACCAGATTAGGGGAGCTTTTGGTCTAACTTAGTACAGACATCCTCCTTTTCTAACCAATCAAGTATAACACTTGACACACATTTGGTATAGACCAAGACACTGCCCTACCACGTCCATCTCATTCTAAGCCTCCTGGAAAAATAGAGGCTTGATTTTAAACCATGTCTTTTTATGTGCAAAGAGAGAAGACACATGTGAAACAAGGATTTATGTTTGTATTACAATTACCCTTGGCTTCTTTTACAAATTGATTTTAGTATGTTGTGGACAGTTCAAATTATAAAAAACACTTGACATAAAAACCATCCTGTTTCTTCAAAATATAATTTTACCCCTAGACATTTCTGAAACTGAGAAACTGCCTAATAAAGTAAAATCTGGCTACAGTTATGTGTCTCATATTATAGGTGCCGATAACTATATAACAGTTTTGATGACGTGGGAAAATCTTAGCCCAAGAACTTTACTCCCTAAAAAACATTTGGGGGTAATTGCAAGGCTGAGACATATTTGGTGAGAATTTCCTCCCAGTAGGTGTATACAGGCAGCATGATGTTTTTGGGAGATATTACACTTAACAAAGCACACATACTGTCAAGATGGTTAGCACAGAAGTTGTAAATCCAACGCTTCCTGTGTACATGCAGATGGATTAAACAGCATGTGTGGAAAGTCCACCTAATGTTTTGTACAAGCATCAGTGTCCGTAGCATGGTTATAAGGCCACATCCCAGGTAGGACAACCAGAGAGAGGCATGTCAGCTGATAAGAGAAACCACCAAGTACAATCCTGTAAAGCACCTGAACAACTAAGTCCTCAAATTAACACAGAGGAAATTTCCTGACTAGAAAAGATAGATGTTTGTCACACTCACATGCATGGTAGCTGTAAATAATAAAAACTGTTTGTCCTTTGATTTGCTTTATGTTACTTATGTAAGAGAAACTTCTGTACTTTTTAGTTTAGAAGCAAACTAAAAAAAGAAGAGCACAGGCAATCAAAAAATAACCAAAACAACATCATCCCAGTGCATTCCTCTAGTTAAATTCACTAGAGGCAGTACCAGTTACTAGCAGAATAAACTATCATTAAAAAATGTAATCACTCACTAAAACCTTTGAGAAAGAGATGCTTTGTGAACTTTTTTTTGGTTAATTAATGAGAGCATTAACCTACTGGGTACTGCTGAAGGGCACAGTGGTGCCGTGTCAGAAGCTATAAGCATAACAGTGATAAAATGAAACACAGAAGCTAATTAAATTAGGACTGCAACTGGTGGAAAGAGCAACACTGCGTTTTGCCCAATAGTAATGCAAATAAATGACTGCACATACTTTTGGTTTTTATCCTCCATACTTTTTGCTTAATTAGGCCTAAACTCATCAACCAACTCTCCCACTCCTTTCCTGGGGCCTACAAGGTGTCCTGCACATTGCTACACGCTTGGTCACTTAGAACAACATAGTGATCATTACAACACGCAGACATATTGAAAAGCACACAAAACTATGAAAGTTTTTTTGAAACAGCAAATCAGTTCCACTAAATTCAAACAACACGAAAGCAGTCATGCTCTTACACAAAAAAGACCCCACCCAAAACCAAACCCTAACTGGGAAACAACACACACTACATATCTAAGAGCTTTGTTTTCTTAAATGCAACTGTAATTCTTCCAATGTTTACCTGCAGAAGACTGACCCATCTTTCCATTCCCGTCTTAGTTTCAGTCTGGACACTTCCAGTTCTGTATTCAAGTTCCCACTTCTACTTCTTATTACTAAAGCCCCAGGATACTAACTTACTGAAAACACTGATCCTCTGTACCAGTTATTAGCAGACTATTCAATAGAATAAAAAAATTAACTGTGAAGTGAAATGAAGCTGTACCAGCTCAAGAAAGAAATAAAACTTTTCCTACAAATAATAGAGAGAAGTCCAATCCAAAGCTATTTAATGAAAAGATAAAGCAAGAGAATTCAATTCACAGACATCATTTAATAAAAAGAAACAGCAGTAAACAAAATCTGCACTTTCCCAAGCTTCAATGTAGTTAATAAAGCATTTTGAACTCTTTGCTTTACGTATGTTTTTCATAAATACATTCGTTTTACTGCCAGGTTTGTTGATACAACTGCAGAATGTGATACATCATTTTGTAAATTTAACAGACATCAATCAGTGCTTCACTCATCAAGACGTAGCTTCAGATTCTAGTGTCTTCTGCAATACCACAAGAATCCTGATGAAAAGTGTGCTTGTCTTTGCATTCGTTAAGAAACAGGAAGAACAGCTTACATGCTAAAAACTTCAATATACTGTCTGTGCTGTGCTTTTCTGAAGCGACACAAGTGAAAGGGATTTTAAAAAAACTGAATTTACCAGGTTTTGAAATGATAAGTGAAAGAAGTGAAAGCTGGCATTTAGCAATGACACCACCCAAAAGAGAAAGAGGAAAAAATAAAAAAAAAGTGGTTCTGACCTCATTTACTGCCACGTAGTACTGCTGGTGCTGGAACTGCGGCGAGTTATCGTTCCTGTCTCTCACCACAATCCGTACTTCATGGTTGATAATGGTGCCAACCTTCTTGTTAACACACTGCACTTGCACCACAATGGACTGAATGGACATTGGCAGCTGTAAATGAAATCACATTTTTATAATACATAGTCAAAGTGTGAACTAACAGTTACAATTCAACTGCTGTTAATATTGCTCGAGTTCACATATAGCCCATCAGCCTGCCTGTGTTATGGTTCGTGTTCTATGTCTGGATTAAAAAGCTTCCATGAGAGTGCACTGACCACAACTCAGCTGGCAATATTTCAAAAGTAGACCTACACGTCTCAAAGCCGAATTTTGCAGACAGAGCTCTGCCAGCTGTATGTGCTAACACAGGAATAAAATTCCCCAGCACGATTAGCCCTTCACACTTCCCTTGAGAACAGCAACAACAACAAAAGCAGCACATCTTTTGAACATCATCTGATTACTGAAAGATACCTAGAAAATGTCACACATTTTAACCTTTGGTTTCTCAGTAGTGGAATTGAAGGGTCAGGTCAGAAATAAATTCAATATGCTACCACTTACCTTTACCAAGTAATTTAGAAACAACTTGGTCACCTTTAAATGCAGACAATCCAAAGTCCTGTTGTTTTTACTCCAGTGAACTTCATAATATTCAAATAAAAATAATTCCCAAACTTGAAGAGCGGGTAAAGAAATGTAAGATGGAAAGGCTCCTACTACTTACCTGAGTTAATAGAGCAATTCTAAGAAGAAAAAAGGAAAAGGCACCTTTGGTCAAAATGGAAATTCAGAAAGAGTGCAATGGAAACAGAGCATTCCAGCATGACTCTTATTCACAATTCCCACCACAGCAAGGGCCAATTTACATACTGGAAGCAGCAGTCTGGCACGTAAAATACTGGCATGAGGTCCACTTTGATTTTGTACCTAACACTCAGCAGAAAGCGAGCAAGCATGGGAAGGGACACATTGAAAAAGATCTATACTTATTAACCTCAAAGTCTTCAAGAGAATAAATGACTCAAAAATGTAATTTAAAGATACCTATGCCATACTGTTCTGTACAGTGAATGCAAACAGGTTTTTGTATGGGGACTCTGAGACAATTACACCATAATTAGATATCTGCATAATTACACTTTCACTAATTCTAAATGCTACAATTTCTTTGATTGATTGATTGATTTTTTTTTCAAGTTTCGCTATAATGGATTTCAGAACCCTATGGCTTTCTTTACCCTTCAGACTTCGGTACTAATCAGTTTTTAAAGAGTCAGACTTGGGGAAAGAAGGGGGCTTTATGGTGGCATTGAGATCTTACATTAAATATCTGTTCTTCCCTACGCATTTTACAATCAACTTTCTCCGCAGTGAACTACAGCATGAGCTTTTAACCCAAAGTCCCTTCTCTTTGCTGTACAAATCTGCAGCCACGTACAATGCAGTTCTACTTTTATCAGTGGAACTTTTAACATAGGTAGGAACATACCAAATATCTTCTGTAACTTAAATTAAGCCTCTGACATTATAATCTCCGTCTATTTTTCACATTGGCAATGAATTGCCAAAGATCCAAGAATTTTTAGGCCACCTTTACTACACTTCAAATGCTACTGAGTTCATCTAGAGTTATTAGCAATGGCCAAGAAAAACATAATTAGTTGCAACAACAGATATGTAAATACACAGTTTTCTGGATTTGAACTTTTTCACAAAAACATGGAAAAAACAGTTTCTTGCCTTTGGTAAAATATGACACAGCAATACTTTCACGTATGTACAATTTGTGCACAAGTTCTTTTAGCAGTTCCTTTCACCTCCAGTTATGATTTCTCTCTATTCATCCTTCCTAAGTACTTCAAAGTTTTGGAAGAAAAGTCTGGAACGTTCTTTTTATCTGCTTTTGTTTGGAAAACATACTGTCATTCTTAGTAAAATCAATCAATGGAATCTAATAAGGTTTTCTTTCAGGAAAAATAATAAAAGAGAACAGGATCAGGTTAACTGAATCAGCAGGGAGTTGACAAGTGGGCACATCGGAGAGAAAAATGGGAAGAGTATCCAAGTACATTGAATACAATCGTACATGCACCATTTGTGAATCAGAGACTACATTTTTGGTCTGTAATAAAAATCAAATTTTAAGGTTCAATTTAATAAACCCCCACATTTTATTGGTACTACTAAGTTTCACATGGCCTCAACTTGAAAAGTGAGAAAAATAGTTTACTTTTAAAAAAGAGAAAAAAAAAGAACCGCACACGCTCTGGAATGCTCTTGCATTTTAGGGGTTAGCATAGCTCTGGTTCTGAAGACTTGAAACAGCATTTAGATAAGAGCTGTATTAATCAAGCCCATGACAGAAACCTCACTTTTCTAATCAGTCAGTGGGGTTTTTGTGGGTTGTTTTCATTGTCTTTGGCTTGTGACTCCCAGCAATTCATTGAGACCACAGAAGACAGCTACAATGGGGCTCACACCCAAAATCTCAATTACCTTAAATCTCACATTTTCTTTTCATATCCCAGCAAACTTAAACAAATACAAACAAGTAATTTTACCCAGCACTACAGTACTAGGGATAAGAAGTGTTACAGTTCCTGGTTAAAAAAACAAAACAAAACAAAACAATCAAACAAACAAAAAAACCAAAAAAAGACGCTATCACCCCTTAAATACCAATGTAAAAACACCAATATTACCTATACATAGCTAGGAAAATGCACACTCTCAATTTGTTTCCTGCGACTTGAGGCTACTTCTTGCAAAGAACATCACTGTAAAGTGGTTGTATGTATTGATAATAATGTAAAGTATTTGTGAGTTTAGTAAGACTGTTATTAATGTTGGAAATAAAATAATTTGGCAAGGTTGTTTTGGTAAAGCATCTAGGTTATATTCTGGTAAAGCAGCTCTGCTGAACAAACCTGTAGAAAGAAAAGTGTTGCTAAAAGGGCCATTGAAAAAAAAAAAAGTATTAACACTGGTCTAACAGGAATTAATTATTTTTTTTTCCTAATGCCATACAGATACGCAGACTTGCGTGGGCTGATGAAGAATTGACCCTACATTTCTTACAGCCTCACCTCCCATTGGGGGCTCTTGCTTTTTGCTCTGACTTAAAAATAAAACTGAAAAGCCAAATGTGTTCCAGGACCTGCCTGCCTCCTCAAAGGCAGGTGGCTGTTTGGCACTAGAGGAAACACCAACTCTTTGCTGATGTACTGAGAAATCTTTTGCCACCATGTCCATTCAGCCCTGTTTTGTGCTGCATACCTTTGCTTCACATATGAAAACAGTCTGTGAATCAAAAACAAATTAAGGACAGCTGAATTCAATTAGTTCTTTTAAACTAAACACGGAAATTAAGAAAAATTTGCATGCTGTTTCTTGTACTTATTAATAGATCTCAAAACACATGGAAAAGACAAATTAATCAAATCAAACTAATACAAAAGAAACTCTCATGCACTCCAAGGAGAACTGCTGATCTTTAAAGCTCTCTTTCCATGCTAATTACAGTCACTTTTGAGTAAATTTTCTTTTCAAATTCGGATAACTACAGCAATGCTATAACACTGGGAGAAAATGTCTCAATTTTGAAGTGTTTCTCTTCAATAAAGTTAGCATAGATGAGAACACTCCTATTTATTTTGTGCTTTTAATCTTTCTTTTTATAAAAATTAAACTTAGCCTGACAGTATTTCTTTACTGCTATTACAGATGAGCATACCACACGAATTCTTTGCTGCCTTAAAAACTAGCACATTCTCAATTGAATATGTCAGGCTTTATAAGTGAATTGTAATATCCACAATTCCTTTGCTCTCTCTCACATCTCATAAGTCAATGTACACAGCTAGAGTAGGCTTTTAATAAGTGCCATGGGACACAAGATGAGCAGCAATTCTTCCACTCAGAGGCAGCAAACCAGAATAAAAATGGTTTTAACTCCATAAACAAGTCAAGTTTGGTTCGATATGTATTTCTGCCAACCCACTCATTTATCTGTTTGGTCTTTACTGTTGTGTTCGTCCACATATAATAATTGCACACAGAGTCAAGTTTCTGCATGCTCCTAATAAGTCCTAATAAAGAACCAAATGAACTCTGTTCACATCCATCTGGGGACAAAAGATAGATGAAGCTATTATATTCAGACAGGTCTTTCTATGAGCATACAGGTTGAGAAATTAACATCTATGGAGAAAAAAGAGAACAAACAGCAAACCCCAAACTTACATCTCTGTCCAGAACTCGGCCCGTGCTATTTAGGTATAGCCTCTGGCTGATGGGATCGAGGATCACCCAGTAATCTCCATTGTCCTTTAAGGAGAGTTCAATGGTAGGGTCCGGCCCTCCTGCTGTCCCCTTGATCAGCATATTGTCAACCAGGATAGTACCTGCAAAAACAAGAAGCACATGAGGGAGACATTTATATGGGCTTCTACATTTTTATGTCTTTTCATAACAACCGCAACACTAAAAATACTGTTTTCTAACTAGGGTTTCCGGTATTTTATGATTTGAGTGCTGTTTAAAAAGTTTGAACCTTATTATATGTAATGACAAACTGCCTCTGATACTGGAGCTATTTCAGACAATACTAGAAAAAGCACCTGCAATGCACAATAATTTGACGATGAGGCCCGTCATATACAGATATCTATTTAACATTATGGATTTATTTCTGCACTGAGTAATCATAACACAATCTCACCTCAATGAAACAAAAGCACTGAAATAACAACTACAACTGGAATAAATTTTCTACAGCATGAGTGACACATCAAAGTGAGGGAAAAAAAGAACAGTTACATAAAGCTCTCCAGGAAAAAAGAGGTTTTGTAACCTTGAGTTGCTCTGCAACAGACAACTAAATTGCAGCATGAAGAAATGGAAACTATATCTGCCAAGGCAAAGGTAGTACTTAATTAGGACAAGACATCTATTCAACATAAATAACATGCTGTTTTTCTTTTCTTGTCCCATCCCATCAGTTAAAAGTCTTGGCTAACAGTTCTATTAGTCAGCTCACAGTACCCACGATGTACATCATTCCTGTGTCAAACACTCCAACTTGATTTCCAAATGTCAAGCATTACTAACTGCCCTCAACATTGCACTCTGGTCCTTCAGATTTGCTTGCACTGTATTTATACACACTTCTCTTACGACATCATTTTTCTGAAAAATTAACACTGCCCAGGTTTTTTCACACTGAAATATTAAAAGAAATGATCTTTAAGTTCATTGACAGTGATGAAGAAAATCTGTGAACATCACTAGCTGCATAACATTTAAATTAGTTAAAAATATTTATCACATATCCTCCTGTATTAAGAGCCCAAATAATTTATTCCGAAGCGGAGAGCAAAGTTTCTTTACATTGTCACTTTATAACAACAGCAATTCTATATCAACATATTTATCTGGAGGGGGCAGTTCTGAGTTGCTCTGGATAAAACTAATTATTGGTCTTAACCACAGCAAACTGTTTTATGGTTTTATTGATGAAAATGCCAGAGTAAGGTTTTTTCAGTCAGTTATTTTGAAAGTACTTTTTATAACACAACAGAGGCGACGGGAAGAAGCACTGCCAAACATCCATAACCGCACCAAAGACTGGATTCACTAGAGGACCAATGAACACCCCTTTAGCCACATGAGAAAGACAGTTGCTACCCGTGTGCTTTATGGCTGTCAGGATGATTTCTTGTGCAATGCCATCTGTACAATTATACCCCAACCCCATGGCTTCAACTGGCATACAACTTTTGAGAGACCACCACTAGTTTTAACATAAAGAGGATTTCACCAGGAAAAACAAACTGATTACCACCCTGGGACACTTCAAAGTGTTTACATCTCATCATCAAATCCTCTAAAATCTGTAAAATCCACCAGCTTCTGTGTATTGCCCTCATTATTGTGCCTCAATGATGACGCAAAGAAAGGTCGGTGATCCAAATTTGAGGTCGTCTGAACAAAAGGGGCCCCAAGAAAAACCTCTCTGAAAAAAATCACCAAGATAACAATACCACAATCACCCAAACTGCTTCAGCTGCTTTGATTTTTCCTCAGTCTTCTTGTTCAGACTTGAAGGCAAAGTCTAAGTTATGGCTATGTCTTCACCAGCACTATGCAAACAGAAGGCTCTACACCTCCATTCAAGTGGCTCTGAAGGGAAATAAAAATCTGCAAGGTGGTGTTTATAGAAAATATCACATGTATAAATTCTTGCCAGGAAAAGGGGGAGCTTAAGGGATGGGAGAATTTGTGCAACTGAAGTAACCAGATGGCATGGAAAAGGGAACAGAGGAGGGTTGTGAAAGTGCTGCAAAAATACACTAGAAGAGATAATCAGGAAATAGGGAAAGGAAAAAGGAGAAACATCTTCTGTCTTCTCCCATGTTGAAGGCTAAGAATTCCACAGTGAGCAAAGGGACGTCACAGCACAAGTTACAAGCACACAGAGCTCCTGCAGCTGCACACCAGTACAACACTTTCAGATGCTTAAGCAATTGTGACATACAGAGGGTGTATTTCTCTCCTCAGAAAATGAAGTGTTTAAAAATATAAAGATGGCCCCTGGTTTCTCTTCCCAAAACTCAAGATTACGAATATAATCTAACATTAGTAGGTCCTGTCTGAAGTGACAGTAGCAAAGGGAAATAACTTTTGGACTTTGCAGTTGCACTGCCTATGGAGAAATCCATCATATGCAACACTAAAGGAATTGGACCGATGACCATGGCAGAGCTCTGACTGTGAACAGAACAGTCTGCAGGGCCATACCCCTGTGAAGGTGGTGATTACCCTTCCATGAGTTACATACAAGTCATCAGAGGAAAAAATACATACCTCAAAGGCACGTATAAATTCCTCACAGCACAGAGTGCATTTGGAAGTGCCAAGATACTTTCCACATGCTAAGGATTGCAAAAACCAGAAGTATAATTTTAGACTGCAGCATCTACCTAAAGAAGAGAGTGCTGCACAACAAGTCAACAGTGGTTGTAACTGTGTCCTTACAGTGAGTGACACACACCACATATACCTGGCATTTGTGGGCAGCTTCGGTTCAGTACAGGCTACATACACCATGGTTTGTTGTTCTTTGTCCCAGGAGGCTTACATCCTCTCTCGACCAGTTTCTAGAAGCTTGACTTCTGCCAAACTCAGCCTTCTGCAAGGGCTAAAGAGCTCAAACAACTTTAGTTCCCAACTTGAGAGCAAATGATTGCAATTACATACTTAAAAAAAAAAAAAAACCAAACTTAAAATCTTGAAGCGATTATGAATTTTGTACAGTCTCTAGTAAACCACAGTTACTTAACTGACCTCACTGCTTTGAATTCTGCATCTCATTTGACTTTCCTGTGTTGCACTCTATAATAGCTATCTGCTTGATTTAACAAAGCACTTCTGTTTGGTTTGTTTTGATACAGCGGCTCTTTTGTTCTTAAAAATGGACTGGTTTTTCTTCAGATATTCATGAGGCACTTGTACTCTCTCTTCAGAAGACAGCAGTTTGCAAATAAGCCTTTTAATAGCCAACCTTAAAGTATTATTCTGCTAATTTACAAAGAATCTGACATTGGGGTTCTTTTTTTCTGCCCTTTATGTATCTATCATTTTGTTCCTTACATCCTGCCTCTGTCCTTGGCCTAAAATGCCAGGGAGGTAACCTAGTAACAATAAATCTGAATAGAGGAAGTTTCATGCAACTGCAGTTTGTCCATTAACTTCCCATACATGTGAGCACAAAAGCAAACATATCCCTCGACATTTGCAATACAGTAAGTTTAAACAATTTGCTTTTGCAATTTTTTTGCAAACACAGAAGCTCAAACAATGCTCTAACTGAAGCAAAACCTTGTACCTTGTTTCAAAAGTTAAATTCATTCTCCTGTATTTATATTGGAAGTTCATTTTTACAGTACTAGGGGGGATGAGGGGTTGGTCAAAGTCCGCTGAGGACACCTGAAAAGGATGCTGCCACTCATGGGGAGGTCCTTGTAGCTGCATGTTTCACTTACCCAATTTCTGGGAAGTTACACTGAAATACCCAAATGTTCAATAGCATTTCAGCTCTGTTCCCTGCACTTCTGTCCTGCATGCACAAGCCATTGAAAAGGACACCAGGGACTGTAATTGGTGGTATTTTTCCTGGCTAATTGAAAAAAGACTGATGTAAAATTTAGATTGTACATCAACACAAGTAGATTTCAAGAATAGCTTTCCATCTTTTCCACCTTCACTGAAGCCTGATGACCACCAAGGGACATTTGTGGAAAGACTATACAGATTTTCAAGGGATTAGTACAGAATAAGCCTCAAGGAATCAAAGTCAAGCAAGTTGTTGGCTAAAACCCAACAAAGCAGACAGAAACCAACAGACTGTACAAGACAGGAAACCTCAATTATTTTCAGGTGCAATATAATTTTTCTGAAAGTAATGACATTTACTCAGAAATGTTGCTTGAGCTTGTTGGGAATTATTCAACAAGGAGCTACAAAACAAGACAACACAAAATTTATAGAGCACTGTAAATATTATAGCAATAGTTCTTCTACATTAGACTATTCCTTTGAGATTAATACAGAAGTTGAAATCTTCACTAGGGAAGGGTTTGTTTTCACAATCAGTCTCAGCAGAAGCTGATCTTTCCTTAGGAAGGGCATTACGAGGGACTTGAATGCAAAAGCCATGAAACACAGAATTTGCAGGTTATGCTCTACTAAAGCCAGCAGACACACAGCGCGCAGTGAGAACTGACTTATTAAATGACTTAGATACATCTTGGGATTATTTTAGTTGAACACTCTGGCAGAGCCCTTTTTTAAAGGGTGAGTGAATTACGACTGCTTTGGGAATAACCCTTGTGCTGGCACAAGTCAGAAAACAGGATTCTAATAGAATGGAAACCACAGCACTTTACTTTTAGGAATTAAAAGGCATTTGCAGTTTCTCTTTCTGCAGTCACCAAGCTCAAGGCATGTGGAGCACACCCCACCTCCCCAGTGACACTACTGAAGAGGTGCACCAGGCTCAACTTCGTGCAATATTGCCAAATTACATTAGCAACTACTTCAGCTGTATGATGCACAAAAACGCTAAATATAATATAAACTAACGTTTTGCTGCTCACAGAGAACATATTTTTCATTTCAGTCTATTAATCAACTCTGTATAACAAGTCCAAATAACATTGCAGGAAATTTACATTAAACACACAGTATTTCCTAACCCTGGCACACCAGTTGTGAATTTTTCAGCCAGTGGTATTTAGTCTGGGAGAATTATGCATGGTACCCATCTGGAAGAAGGCAACTTCAGGAAAGAATCAGGTATCCTACGCGCTGTACTTACAGAGGCACAGTACATTAAATGAGCAACACAGCATACATTGATTTGTCCAAAAGAGAAGCGAGAAGAAAAATCGGTAATTAAAAGGCATTTATATACACACACCCTCTCTAACTCTCTGAGCTGCAGTAAGGGCAAGTACAGACAGTTGTCAATAGATGGAAGGAAACTCACCACTTCTGCACTCCACAGCAGTGGGTTTTTTTCACATCTAGTATATTAAAAAATGAAAACCAAGCAAGCAAGAATAGAGAGACTAGAGAGCCTAAAGAAGTGAGCAACACCTGCAAGAGCCATTGAAGCTAGCACTGGAGAGCAGCAGGCTGGCATGCTCAGATTTGTCGGGGGTGACAGAGCTGGGCTGACACCCAGCTGGACATCTTCACTGGAGCTGGGAAACCCAATGTCAGACAGACCAAGTGGTTACAGACCTGCCAAAATGTGAACACAGCATTCCTATCAGAGCCTCTGCACTTACAGCTTGTGTTGGTCAAGATGAACAAACCAGAGCAGGCAGAGGGAGGTCAGAGACTCAGGAAGGTCTCCATGTGCTACTCCCACCTCTGTTTGCTCAGGACCACTAAGAATGTGTTGCAGAACCCAAGTTCCACCTGCACACACCTGATAACTTCTCCTCTACTCAGTGACTCCTGAACAACGTTTACACCACGTGGAATACATCAGGTTTCTTTTGGACAGAGCAAATGTGCATTAAAATACACCTGTGTCTCTGTACTGCTTTCCTCTGCCTGCCACTGATTCTAAAGCAGTCTGAAAATGGGGATTATTTACTTATAGAAAGGCGTTAGATGGATCAGTTGAAATGGTAGTTGCTTTTTTTTATATATTCTACAGAGTTTTCTTAGTTAAATCTGGACCACAAACACATTTTTCTACATTTGAAGGTATATGCCTGCAGAATCAGAAGGATTAAATAGCAATAAATTAGAAGTCAATGGAAAATGAAAAGCTTATTGCAGAAGTAAATTCTCAACATCATCACGAACTTAATTAGACCCACGCTGCACATTCATACATAAAAATAAGATAAATCTAAAAAGCCACCTCCTGGATTACATATTTCCTACTGTCTGTCCTCGTATCATCAGTAGGGATCTCCGAGAAGTTTCCAAGGTTGTTTCAAGATTGTTTTCCTGCTGTCCTGGCCCGTCTTCGCCCATACTGCTTTGTGCGTAGCCACAGCCTGTTCTGTATTTCTCTTCTGTACCCAGCTCAGGAGATGCACTTTGCAGCGCCTGCCCACCCACAGCGGCACACCTCCATACCCCGCTCCCCTCCAAAGCTTGCATTTTTCCCTCCCTTTCATTCAGCACTGAGGTCAGGAGCCAACACCACCGAACAGAGAGTCTCTAAACATCAAAGGCGGCTTTTCTTCATTTACCGGTATTTTTGCAATGTGGAACCACAGGAATGTCTTTATGGGATTAGACTATGGTCTGCAAAGTCCTTTCCTAGATGTCTGACAATATTCCACAATGCAAGTGGCAAAGCAAAGCAAGCCTGCAGGAGTCAGGTGAGAACTGAATGTCTTTCCCCTATAGGAGATAATTTTTTTCTATTTCAGTCTTCAAAATCTTCTCCTTCAGGGAAAATGTTCTATTTTCCTTAACATTTGTGAACTCAAAATTTTGAGTCAGTTCTAACTCTGAACGGCACAGAAGGCAAATGCAATCACTCCCGTCAAAACATCTCTATAGGTTTACATTAAATTGCTACTAAAAACTTAACCCCTATAAAAATATGACTTACAAAGGATTTTTTTAAGATTAAAAAATTTAATCCATACTTCAACAGATTTTTTTTTGTTGTTTTTAAATGTATAATTCCATATGCAAATACCTGTACAAGATCAGACTAAAGACCTACCTAGCCTGGTATCCTGCTTGCAGCAGAGGCCAACAGGCAATGCTCAGGCCAGATCTAAATTTCTGAGTGAGTTACAGCTCCCTCTTCCACATGTTCCTTGGCTCCAGATCTGCGGGCTTACTTGTTTTACAGGTAAAAAAGACATTTGAGACATTTACAAACCACACAGGCTCTTTTTCAAAACTTTTAAAAGCTTACAACTGTGTACATTGAGAAGGTGTCAATCATATTTTGCTCAAGGGACTATCTAATTACCTAACTATGCATATGTTCAAAACGTATCAGCCTGCTAACTGAAGAAAAACTAATAATCTGACCTCTCTCCAGCTCAGCAAACACAGATACGCAGAGTGGCAGAGGTTCTCCAAGTGGCTGGACCCCCCCTCACCCCCCCAAGTCAAGGGGCTTTTAGCAGCCTCACCAGCCCTCAGACTGCCTGCTCATCTGCCAAGTAGGCTGTTGAGTCTCTGGCAACCTCACAGGGGTAAAATGCCTACTGAAATAAAATTTTGAAGGACCTTGAATTGTGGGATTCCTCTTTTATTTTTTAAATGGGACCAGAAACAGATTGCTAAGGCTGACTTAAGATTCTCCATTATCTATACAAAAAGTTGTCAATCCTTGAAAAAACATTCCCAGATCAGCGCTCTTACACCAAACAACACATAAAGTTAGTTTAATCAAAAAAGTTACCTTACTAAGTACCTACACGCACAATGTAAAGGCTATCAAGACAAAAATATACACAGGCTAGTTTGTGGGAACGTTTAAAAAATAAAGCATTCCTCTTCTTACCAGACAATGCAGAAATAATAAAAATGCACATACTACAGTCAGCGGTGAGATAAAGAGTCTTCGGGCTATTCCAGCAAACACTTTGTGTCTTGCCTTGCTTCTCAGAAGACCCTGGCAACAGCAATTCTTGAAGGTGACTTACAACGCAAATGAACGCAGAAACTAGTCGAGTATTGGAAAGACAAGTGCGACATTCAGGAACTGGAATGAGAGCCAGACATAGGAGCTCCTCACCTAAACCCAGTTAAGATTGTGAGGCTTCTAGAAAGAGGAGAACTTCAGCACTGGATGTCTTCAGGAAAACACCAGACAAACTTTCATCAGAAAAAACAAGTCCACCTACTCTTGGAGCCAGAGGAATGGACTGACAGTTCTTTATTCTTTGACCCTGTTATTTCAAGAGACAGAGCAGAAACATCAGCAAGTTTTACTGCCGTTCACAGATTGGAACTCTTGCTGAATTTGTCCCAGTTTATGAAAGTCACAATTGGAAAGTTCTTTGCCTCTCTAAAAATACTCAGAGATGAGGGAGAACTAGCACAGGGCAACCCTGGTGCACAAGAGGACACAGGAATGTGAAACTTTACTCAATACCAGTTTTTGGAACAGCGATATTCTGCCATGATTCGCAAGGTAGAAATTACCCCAAAGTAATGGACATTATTATGTTAAGCACCTGCAAACAAAATTATTTGCATTTAAAAGGAGTCATGTTCCCAGGGATATCCAAGCCTTTCCATTTAAATATATTATCACAAAAACAATCTAATTTCTATTTCAGACCTGTTTTATTTTATTGAGACCATAATAATAAACATTTATTAATGGTTTATTTAGTCTTCATCTGCAAAGCAAGTACCAATCCAGGACAAAGCAGAACCAGTTTTAGCTGTGTGACTACAGAGATATTAGTGGAATCCAAGGACACACATACCAGTCATTTTCTGGTACAACACATTTCAGATTTAATTTACCACAGCTGTGGAATAAGCTCCTCGTAATTAAGACAGACCCATACATCCCAGACATGGCAAAGTCACCATATGCACACATGTATAAGTCCCAATTTTATGCTGTGGGCCTGGGAAGTCCCAGCATCTAGGGATCCAGTCACAGTTTCTACCTGCAAAATATTTCTGGGAGGAAACGAATTTTGTACAAGCAAACAGGATCAGTGGCATCCGTGGTCGGAAAAAGACAGTGAATTTTCTCATGACCTTTGCACAGGACTGCAGAGACCACCTGCAGAACACTCCTCTCTCTAGTACCTGCCTTCTCCGAGCTTATGAACCAACATCCTCATCTGCATGCACACCACAGCTTCCATCACCCAGCTTTTTGTTCACCTAACCCCAACCCGTGACCTTATGTCCAAATCAAAAGTCCAGTAACTTTCCTTAAAATTTATGTTCACCTCTTTATCTTTGGGCTTTTCCTTTCCAAACCCTTCCTCAAGTTAACAGGTTCTGTCTCCTTCTTTGAATGTACTCGAAACACATCTGCAACCTGTTATACTGAGTGCAATGGGGATCTCCCGCGTGAGCCTGGAGCTCCTGAGCTCCACGGAGGGTGACCCGCGGGAAGGGCTGCAGCCAGGGCTCTTCAGGCTTTCAGGTCCCTCCTGCCCAAGAGCAGAACCTGCAAGTTCCCCAAACTCAAGATGAGTGTGAATTGGAGAGATCAGTTGTTCCACTTCATTTATATTTTTCTGGAAGGATATCATATTTCTATTTCCATTCTACAGAAAACAGAAAAATATCTGATTTTCATTGTGATTCTAGAAAAACTACTTATTTGGAAGTACATATTTTTGTCACTCAGGAAACGTCAAGCTTTGGCTAGGTTTGTCTCTCAAAATAGAAACTCATATTTCAAAATTAACCTAAAATACATCTCTGAGATTGTGCAAAGAGGGTGGGACTTCAGCTCTCAATACAGGAAAGCAAGATGGATAATCAGGAGGCAAGCGTGTGCACGTGAGGGGTGTCTTTGACCAGTGAAATTGTAATGCAAATTATTTTACTAAAATGAGTGTTTCCGCACACAACCCACAGAGATGGTGTACTCATGCATCACATTTCCCCGGGAAGACCATATACTCAGGTAATATGTTTTAGAGTTCTTGGGCATGTGTCAGAGTGTGTCAGGTCACAAATATGTATTAAAAACTGGTTTTGTAAGTCTTGTTTGCGTTGCAACTCCTTTAGCCATTACTCAAGCAAAACAACATCCGGGTTTATGGATTCTCTGTTTTAAAAAGTCCAATTTACACTTCAAACACCCGAGGACTTATAAATAATGAAACAGAGCAAGTATTTATTCAGGAACACCATGATCGGGCAATGGCCATGGAGGGTGCAAATTAAATGACTTGAATGTTTTCACCTTAATTTGGAGCCATCCTCGGGCCTGTTTGCATACTGTTCCAAGAGGAGCAGCGGGAGCCTATAGCACTTTGCTCTGAAGCTGAATTATTAAAATTATAAAAAGCCTACCTAAACACTGCTTATAGCTATCTGCATAATTTTTTAATTTTTCTTAATATATCCTAGGCATCTACTGTGCACTGCAACAACCACAGGAGAGGAGCACTGTGGATCGAGCGCATGCAGAAAATCCACAATTTCTTGCAGAACTCCTTGTTTATTTCGAAAAGCAGGAGATGTGATTTTTCAAGAGAATGAAGCAATTTCTTGTGATACCTCAGCAGTGGCAAATGAAGGAGGAACCACCTCAAATGGCAAATGCCAGGAGAGCCCAAATAGCAGGACAGAGCAAAAGGAACTTCTGCCTTTGAAATTAATTCTTTAGTCTGTTTTAGGAGGAAGGCTGCACTTTTTTTTTTTTTTTTTTTTTTTTTTTTAAAATCTCCTGAACATTCTCTGCATTACTGCCTATCATTCCCATTCCATGAGGACCGGGAAAGCATTCTCCTTTGTGGGGAGAGAAAAAAGCTTTCTTTTCCTGTGAATTGCTTTATTAGAGAAATACAAAGCATAAGAAAAGGACTTTATTATTCACAGAAATCTGCTAGACCATTTGTAACCCATAGTTGTGCATACACCTCCATGAAGGTTTATGGTCATGAAAGCTTGCAAAGGCAAAGACCAATAGGAGGAAAAGGCTTCCTCCAAAGGCCGAAGTGCCCTTGCAGAATCGCTTTACTGCTCCGCAAGCTGAAGAGGAAGGACCCGTTGCACCGCAAGAAACACTGGAGCCGAGCAAGGCAGACCAGTCTGCTCCTAGCATAACAACTAGCTTGACAAAGAAAAAGCGACGGGTTACGGCAATAGGAGATTCTCTTCTAAGAGACATGGAGGCACCCATTTGCCGACCTGACCCTCTCTCTAGAGAGGTGTGAGCTTGCCGGGGGCTTGTATTAGAGATGTGACTAAGAGGCCACCAAACCTCGTGCGGCCCACCAACTATTATCCTCTACTGTTGTTTCATGTGGGCAACAGTGATATGTATGGGAGGAGCCTGAGGAGCATTAGGAAAGACTACAGAGCTCTTGGAGAGGCAGTGAAGGGCTCTGGAGCACAGGTGATTTTCTCTTCAATCCTCCCAGCTGAAGGGAAAGGGTATGAAAGGGCAGATAGAATCTGGCACATCAACAAATGGTTGCAGC